GTGAAAAACCCAGACTTGGGCGCTAGAGACAGGGGATCCTTGGGGCTCACTGTGCTCAGTGAACTCTAGACCAATGAGAATCTGTCTCAAGAGAAAGGTAGACAGTGCCTGAAGATTGTACTCAAGATTGTCCTCTGACATTTACATACAGTGTGCATGCATGCCTGCCCACAACCACACACATGAATGTGCACACACACCAAATTCTCTTTAAGACATTGTATTTCCATCTGTCTAGCTCAAGTACTATCCTCAATGGTATTCAAACAGAGGTCCCCTTAGAAGCCAAATACTCAGCTCTGGGTTCAGATATGAGAGGTGATTAATACATGACACGAAGGACCCGAACTGGCAGTTCATGGGCAGAGGAGCAGAATAGGGTCCACCTTGTCCTAGCTGGGGAGCCTGAGGCTTAGCAGGATGTGAGACCTACATAGATCCCAGCTCTCTGTCTACCTATCTCCACCACTTTGAGATGCGTAATCACTGATTCCACCCTCAGCCTCAGCCTACCCCTCCTGTGAGGCCTGCACCGTCTCCCTTAGGTCCTCCATTCCAGTGGTGCTTGGCATCCTGACACCTGCTCCCTAAGGGAAGGGAAGCCACAGGGCAGTTCTAGACCCTTACCTCAGCGTGGGAAAAGTAGGGACCCTTGCCTGTCCTAGTTATAATTGGGTCCCCACAGCCTTGCTATATTGGGTGCATGGCGGGTACTTGATTAAAATCTGGATTTGCTGTAATTCCACAGACCTGTAATCCCAGAACTCAAAAGACAGAGCCAAGTGGATTGCAAATTCAAATCCTTTTGAGCTATAAAATAAGTTTTAGGCCAGTGTAGGTAATTTGAGACCATGCCTCTAAGAGTCAGAAAGAGGGTTTGGAGGTATGGGCCCATTGGTTGAGTGTTTGCCTAGAATGTACAAGACCCTGGGTCGAATTCCCATTTCTGGAAGGAAAAAAAATTTCATGAGGTGAACATATAGAGCAAAGCCTAGAAACAGCTCAGACAAGCTCAATTCCCTTTGCAGCTGGCCATGGCCTCTTACTCCCTCTGTGGCCAGTTTCCCTGCCAGACTCACAGATGGGCTCTGAGAAGCAGAACTACAAGGATCTGCACTGACCAGTGCTATTTATTGATTGGAAGCAGAGGCAATGGCAGTGGAAGCCCCCGTTCCATTTTGTCCCAAAGTCTGTCACCTACCACTGATCCAGGCCTTACCTCCTAGAAGAGGAACTGCAGTATTTTCTTGTGAGAATTCAGGACCAGGGGGACCTATTTCTCAGTAACTGCTGTCTGATGTCAGCTGGTCCACTGTTATAAGATCATTTTGATAAAAGTCGACAATATAGAAAATGTCCACGTGCTCAAAGGAACATTTGCAAAATACTGGGTGCTTGCTGGGAAATCACTGGGTTAGCCATATATTGAGTTTAATTGTACTGATTGTTTTCATATGGCCTCACCATTTTGTACTCCTACAGTAGGCTACACTTGGCATTGTGAGTTTTTGAAGTGGTATTAATCTATTGCTGTACCTCTTCATAACTATTGAGATCTGTGTCTTTTGCTTAGGCATCCCTTCCTGTGAGGGATCCTTGTTCTTGTCATTTGGCCTCCCAGTGGCTCGTGGTTAGTCACCCGCTGTAGTCCCAGCCCTCAGCACATGCAAATGTGGACATTCTGGGAAGCAGCAGCTAGTGGATGATGGAGCCATACAAGGACTCCCTGCTGGTCTGTGATGCAGAAGGGTAGTCAGGGCAGATCTCCACGTGCTCCTGAGTTCCCCAGCCCCTTCTGAGTGTCCTCAGCCTGCAGCTCCTCAGCAGGCAGGCCATCCCCTTGGCTGTGCTGCCTGGAATTTCATCACCGCCAGGACTGCGTCACAGACACCTCAGCTCAGGCGCCACCCTTAGTGGGAGGCCGGCTGGAGCCAGGGAGGACGCAGGGGATCTTCCAATTCCTCCCCCTGCTCTTGCCTGCCTGAGCTGCTGCTGACTTCTTAGTCGCTGAAATGAAACTGTAAAAAGTGGCTCTGGCGTGTGGAGCTGTGGCCAGGGCCCCTGCCACTCAACTGGGAGACCCAAGGTAAATGGCTTCTCTTCGCTGAGCCTCTGTCCTCACTTGGGCATGTTACAGCCCCTCTGATAGGGTGTTGGGAGCTCCAGTGCCCTGCCTAAAGCCACCAGGTTGGCCATGGCTCTCAGACTCTGAAACCCCGACCATTCTTGCCCACACCTGACTGCCTTCCTGCAGCTCTGAGCAACAGCAGCTGTGGGGAGGCCTGTCTGTCAGCCAGTCCTCTGCTCACTTTGGGTGCTTTGATTCTGTTGTTACTGTGTCTCACATTGCTTTGGGCTTAGTTCTCTACCCCAACCCACTAGGGCTGACCCATAGCTGGGGACAGTTTGGATTTTTGGTTTTGGGCCCTCAACCCTAGGTCCTGAGTTGCTCTCTGATGTTCCCTGCATTCTGCTCCTGCGGTAGAGCTTTCCCATCTTTTCTGACCCTGCCTGAGGGTCTTTCCCACGTGCTGCTCTCTGCATTGCCTTGGTTACTTGAGGCTTTGCTCACGTGCACCCTATCCTACAACTAGCCAGCCCTGTTCCTTACTATTTCCCCCTGATTTTCTCCTCAGCACCTCTCTACCTCTGACATTGTTCTGCGGGGTATGTGTGTGTTGTTATGTCTTTCCTCTTCAGAAAGTGAGTTTTGTGAGGCCCATCATTGTGTCTACATGATGGTCTCTAGGGTCTGGAGCCTAGGACACACTCCCAGAAGATGGGTGTTTCTGCAGCTTGGCCTGTTGGTGAGAATCAGCTCATTCATTGCATGGCAATGTCAGTGCTGTGCTACCACTTTGTAGTGTTGATGGCTGTGGGGGAGTTGCCCAAAGGGTATATTACTGCACCCAATGCAGCTTTGCAGATTGAGATCCGAGGGTGTACTGTTTCACTGAGGCTCCAAGGAGGGAGAGTATCCAGAAGGTGTAAGCAGGAAGGCTATAATACCTGAGCAGTCCCTGTCATGATGGTGTGCCCTTGCTTTCTTGGTTCAGGAACCACTCACGTGGCCCATTTGGTGTAGGGAGGACTTTGTTCTGTTTTCTAAACACACTGGGGAGCTGTGAAGGGTTTGGACATGGAAGGACAAGGTCAGGTGTAAATGGAGGGGTGAGAGTGAGGCAGAGGAATGTGGGAGAGGGCTGAGTAGGGAGGAGCCAGGGCTGCAGGGCCCCAGGCTGAGCAGGGAAAGTGTTCAGGGTGGGCAAACAGACAGCTGCTGACATGGGACGATGAGGCAGGTCAGCCTCGAGTGCCATAGTGAGGACTTGGGCATTTTTGCCAAGGAGAGCCATGGGGAACCATGAAGGATTCTGAGCTAAGGAAAGACAGAGTCTTATCTGTCCTGGAACTCACTCTGTAGACCAAACTGGCCTCTAGCTCCCAGATATCCGCCTGCTGCTGCCTCCCAAGTGCTGGGACTAAAGGATTGCCACTGTGCTTGACTTAAGACCGACTCACTTTTGAGGGTCCCTTTGGCTACCGAGTTGGGGCAGGGAAGTAAGACTTCAGGAGGATGTGGACTAGGACTCTACCAGCCAACATTAAAGGGGAAGTGGGGTGGTTGACATTGATGGACTGTTTATGGCTGAGAGCCCTGTGCTCCTGTGTGTTTGGGATCTGCTTGTGGAGGACACCCCCTGTTGCTGTTTCGGCCCCACACTCCTTCATTGTTTTTGTATCTTGGAGTCCAGCTTGTGATCTCACACGCGCCTGTCCTCCCCGTCTTTGGCCACCTTGCCTTCCCTTCAGTCCCTCCCACTTACCTCCCTCCTTCTGCCCAGGGCCTGGGCAGCCTGCCACTGTCACATGCCAGGCAGTACTGTGTCCAGCCCACCAGCTCCCCTGGGGCACGAGAGAAAGCTGATGCCCATGGTGTCCCTAGAGCCAGCTGCCACTTCTCCAGGGGCCTCTGTAGCTCCTGACCTGCTGTCCGCAAATAACCCTGGGTTGGGAGAGGCAGACATAAGGCACTTTGGGCTCCATGGCCCCAGTCCAGGCCCAGGCTTCCAGGTAAGAGCCCAGCTGGTGACTGCCCACATTTGTCCTCCTCCCTCTGCTCAGGGAACCTGAGACTCAGCAACAGCTTCGGCGTCCGTTAGTCTGTTGGCTGGTAGTCCCTGAAGACAGATGAAGAGGTCTTGGAAAAGGAACCAGGCCCTTGGTCAAATCCCAGGACTGGCCTCTAGGCTCCAGACAAGTGTGTGTGTGCAGTAGGTTCCCTCAGATGCCAGAGCTTCTGCGACTTCATTTATTTTCCTCATTCTTGTGGTGGGAACACGGAGGAAAAGGAAGCTGGGGATGGTACAGGACCTCCCTGTACTTGGGGAAGCTGTTCTTAGTTTGCTTAAGGTGGCAGGTTGATTTCTAAAGAAATGAGTGCGTGTGTGAGTCTGTCTGTCTTGGGGGCAGGCAGATAGATGGTGGTGGCTTTGAGCACACCCAAGGTGCCCAGGGCTGTCTGATTCATTCTGGGTTACCTCAGCACTGGGGCGTTGGGGTGAGGCAGGGGGTGGGGCTGCAACTACCTCACTCTCTTCCTGTCCAGCCATAGGTGTGAAGGGAAGAGTTTGGTTTTTGTGTTTTGTTTGTTTGTTTCGAGACAGAGTTTCTCTGTGTAACCCTGGAACCATCCTGGAACTCACTTTGTAGACCAGGCTGGCCTTGAACTCAAAGAGATCCACCTGCCTCTGCCTCCCAGGTGCTGGGATTAAAGGCGGGCACCGCCACTGCCTGACTTAGGGAAGAGTTTTGATGCAGAGCCTGTGCACGTTCAGCTCTTATGTGACCCCATGTTTCTCCCTCAGGATCGGGCCCCAAGGGAAGAGCTCTTCCTGGCTCCCTGGCTATACCTACTGCCTGGCCAGCTACAGAGCCAAAGAGCCTCAGCGTCCAGGATGGGGCCCTCACCCTCACAGCTCTTCTCTTGTCTTTCGTAGACTGTACTGTACCCGAGTCGCCTCCTGCATGTCCTGCTGCCCTGAGCTGTCCCAAGGTAGGTGACAGTGTTAATGCTGCCACCATGAATGAGGTTTCTGTCATCAAAGAAGGCTGGCTCCACAAACGTGGTAAGGATTCACTTTTGCTCACCAGATTGTGTGTCTCCCTCTTGCATCCTGCTCTCCTCTAGTATCTCCAGCTCAAGGAACCATTACTCTGTGGCCCTAGCTGGACGTCCTGAATAAGTCCAGATAAGGTTTCTTCTTCATACCTTCATCTTACAGGTGAAGAAACTGAGGCTTAGAAGAGGGTAGTCACAGAAAACTCAAGTAACACAGCCAAGTGATATCGAGTCAGTGTTTATTTATCAAATACGCACTGATGGTAAGGTTCTGGGACCTTGTGGAAGCCATGTTCCACTTGGACTGGTAGCACAGTGAATAGACGCAGTGTCAGGTGGTAAGAAGGGCAGTGTGAATGAGGGGTCAAGGGCTGGGAAGAGACAGTCTGCGGGGAGGTACTCTGAGGAGGTGACAGAGAACAGAGCCTGGAGGAGGAGGTGCCTGGTACAGAGCCACAAAAATTGCCTGGAAAATGTGTCCTATGAGAGGAGCAGAATGGACAAAGTCTCAGAGACCTGCACTTGCCTGGTGTTTCTAGAACACTGTAGCTGGAGCAGGTGAGATGGAAGCTGGGCAGGGCGGACTCACAAGCCCCATCAGCCACAGTCCTCTGTGGGGACAGGAAGCTGAGGCCCTGGTGAGGTCATGAATAGAGAGCCCAGGGTCCCCTGTGTCTGCACCAGATGCCATGTGATACTAGGAGGCAGATAAGGAAGCAACATGTGCTGAGAGTTAGCTTTGTCACTGCTGGCCTTCAGGGACCTTCTCCTGGGCAGGAAGGGTGCCAGACCGGAAGAAGCTGGTTCACAGACGCTTCCATTCACTCAGTGCTTAACTCATGGAGTGGCTCTTGTGTGCCAGGAGCTGTTCTAGATCCTAGAGACAGTCAGGGATCCCATCCTCGTGGTGACATGTGACATCCTGGGGCAGGTGAGGTGCCTAGGCTGACCTTCATATCCACTGGTGGCCTATGTTGTGAATAAATCACGCAGCGAGAGGAAGGTGGGTCTGAAGCTTACAGTGGAGAGTCATGCTGCATCTGGGGCTTGAGGAGGAGCAAGGGCGTCCTGTAGTTCACAGGCAGTGCAGCGATATTTGGGTAACAGGACAATTAGGGCATCCTGAGGGGAGCGAGATGGGCACATTTGAATAACAGATGGCTGATGAGAACCTGTCCTGCCATCTCTGGCCACAGACACCAGCAGTCACATGGAATGGGCTGCCCCTTAGGGCCAGCAGAACAACAGAGGAAACCCCATTTCCTGCTGCCCCTACAGCAGGTGGCACTCAGGGCACTCCAGCCCCGTAGACTGAGCCTTGACTTTGAAACTGTCAAATGCAGCCATTCAAACATTGACATCTGACAGGTTCTGATCTTGGCCCTGCCACTTTTGTTGTGACAGTGGGTGAGCTGCACCACCCGTCTTGGGTCTGTTTTTGATTTTTTGGTATCCTAAGCAGTTTTCAGCTTTGTAGTAATCCTCCTGCCTCAGCCTCCCTAGAACTAGGATTACAGGTATGCGCTTGGTCTATGTCTGTGTGATGAGTTAACAATCCAGGCATCTGATGTCAACCCCCTTTAGGCAGGATTTTCATGTGCTGTGTTTACTATGCTGCCTTGATTGCCTCAAGAAATGTTTGACATCGCGTAGGTGCCCAGCAAACAGCTGCAGAGTAAATGATTGGGATTGCATCTAATGGCAACTGTGCTTGGCTGTGTCAGTCTGCTGGACTCCTGTCCCTTGGCGGGAGTTTCCCTAGGCTCACTGGATTAAGGTTTTAGGAAGTGGGGAGGCGGCTAGGGAACCATTGAGTGCTGGAGCGGGGAGGGTCTCTAGCTTAGACTTGGCTGATAAAGTGAGTCTTGACTCTGGCCCCTTTTAGGGCTTCGTGTCTGTGTTTGTGTGTACCACACTGAGTTGGGCTGAGTTGAATTGGTTGCTGGCCTGTCCTTGTCTTTTGTCTGGCCCACCTGCCTTGAATACACAATGCGTATGCACACAGGTGTACTCCTTGGTCATCTGAGTAGTGGCTGGCAGAAAGAGGGCTCTGCTGCCTCCTGATATCTGGGCATCTGTGCTAACCCATTCCCACTTCTGCTGGTTAAAATAGACATTGTACTGGTTTCCTCCCAGTCTCTCTGGTCGCAGACTCTGCCCCAGGCAAGCCTGTGTTAATGAGTTTTCATGGATACTCTCTCTCTCAGAGCAGACTAGCAGCAAAAGTGATTGCTTGAGGCCTTGACACAAGGCAGTAGAGCGTAGTGGGACAGACCCTGGCCTTCTGATGCTAAACTTGACTGGGCTCAAGGCCTAGCCTGCAGTGTATGCTGCCTCTTACTTACTCAGCAGGGTCTGGGGTATGACTGACTGGATGGTCCGACTGCCACCAGATCGTATTTGTGGCTTGGCTTTAGCCATCACCACCACCCTTAGGAGAGCATACTCTCTCCCCTACTGGTGTGGAGGCAGACAGCATAGTGGTCAGGGCGAGCTCTGGATTTCAGTGCCAGCTGTCCCAGAGAGCCAGTTGTCCTATGATTCTTTTTTTTTTTCTTTTTTTCCCCCCTCAAAACAGGGTTTCTCTGTAGCTTTGGAGCCTCTCTTGGAACTCACTCTTGTAGAGAAGGCTGGCTTCGAACTCACAGAGATCACCTGCCTCTGCCTCCCAAGTGGTAGAATTAAAGGCGTGCTCTACTACCGTCCGGCTCAGTCCTATGATTCTTGCCACAAAAGTGAGCCTCTCTGACTCAGTTTCCTCATTTGACTATTTTTGGTTTTGTTTTATGTTTTTTCCTTTCTTTGTAGGCTTTTTGTTGCTAAAGTATGAAACATCAGATATAGATTGGGACCTGGGTCATTAATCACCTATGCCAGAGTCCAGATAAAGAAGCAGCAAGACAGTCTTCAGCACCGTGTCCCACCTGAGCTGTAGCTACTACTTTTGAAGGATATTTTGTTGTTGTTGTTTGTTTTTTAGAGAATACATGTTGCAGATCCCTGCCCAGGGCCTTTATGTGCAAGTTCTCTAAACTGCATCCCCAGTTTGAGTTTTCTAACATTCTTCTTTTTTCAATTGAGGTGAAATTGCCATAACATGAAATAAACTTTTCTAACTTGTATAATTGAGTGACCTTTATACATTCGTGGTGTTAGGTGGCCACTATTCTAAAGTCCCCAAATACGTCATCACCCACAGGAAAGCCTTGAGCCCACTGAGCGGTTGGTCTCCACCTCTTCTTCCCACCTGCCAGCAGCAATGCTTCCGGCCATATGGACTATCTGCTCCAGATACACTTGGCAGCGCTGGGATCACACACTGTGGCCTTTGTGACCTGGCTTCTCCTTTGCATAGTGGTTATCTGTGTTAGACCTGTGTCAATGCTTCATTCCCTTTTTTTAAAGATAATTTTTTAATGTGTATTTATTTGTGTGTGTGTATGCATGTTTGTGTCTTTGGTAACCATGGAGACCAGAAGAGGCTATCAGATCCTGTAGAGCTGCAGTTACAGGAAACTGAGCTGACCAATGTGGGTGCTAGGAACCCTACCTAGGTCCTCTGCAAGAGTGGGAAGCACTTTTTAACCACCGAGCCATCTCTCCAGTCCCTTATTCCTTTTTATAGACAAATAAGTGTATGGATACAGGATGTTCTTTAAAACCTATCCTTTAAATATACACTGGAGTTATTTCTTTTGGCAGTTGTGAGTCGGTATCACTCTGAACAAAGTTTGTCTTTTGTTTTTTGTTTGTTTGTTTGTTTGTTTTGTTTTTGTTTTTTGACACAATGTTATTTAGCCCAGGATAACTTTGAATTCCTGATTCTCCTGCCTTTGCCTCTTAAGTGTAATAAACGCTGCTACACCTAGTTCTTTTGTTTGTTTTATCATAGTTTTAGTTTGCATTTTCTCAGTGCCCAAAATATGGGGATTACTGATATGCTTGGGCTATCTTTTTTTTTTTTTTTTTTTTTTTTCAAAGATAGGTTTTCTCTGTGTAGCCCTAGCTGCCCTGGAGCTCACTCCGACCAGGCTGGCCTTGAACTCACAGAGTTCCACCTACTTCTGCCCCCAAGTGCTGGGATTACCTAGCTATGCTTGGCCTGTCTTTGCTGCAGTAGCTTTCCAAGTCCTTGACCTCTTTAAAATGCAGGCACATCGCTGTCTTATTGAATTATAAGAGTTGTTTATATATTTTGGATACTAAGCTCATAACATAAATAAAATTAGGCCAGGTAGTAGGCTTGGCAGCAAGCTCTAGGATTTTTCTGTCTCTGCCCCCAGGTTACAGGAATTCCAGGCCTACCCTGCCATGCCTGGCTTTTTCAGTGCATGCTGGAGATGCATGCTCAGTCCCCATGGTTGTGTGACAAGCACTTTTCCTGGTGAGCCATCTCCATAGCCCCACTTACTGGAATTTGCCTTAGTTTGCTTGCTTACTTTTCGTTTGTTTGTTTGTTTTTAGGATTTATTATTTTAGTTATGTGTGGGTGGTATAAACGTGTGTGCAGGTCCCCTTGCAGGCGTTGGACTCCTCGGAAGCTGGAGTTATAGACAGATGTGAGCCACCCGATGTGGGTGCTGGCAACTGAACTCTGGTCCTTTGGAAGAGCAGCAATGCTCCTAACCATGGAGCCGTGTATCCAGCCCTTAGTTTACTTTCTATTGCTGTGATAAAGGCCACAAACGAGCAATTTAGGAAGGAAAGGATTTATTTCAGCTTATAGCTATAGTCTATCGTGAAAGGAAGTCAGGGCAGGAACTAAAGTGGAGGCCGTGGAGTAATGCTACTTTGTAGCTGCTTCCCATGGCTTGCTTAGCCTGACCCTGCTCAGTGCCATCAGTGGGATGGACCCTCCCACATTAGTTGTTAAGAATATGACCTATAAGCTTGATAGAAGCATTTTCTCAGCTGAGGTTCCATTGTCCCAGGTGACCCTAGTTTGTATCACACAGAAAATTAACCAGTACAGAATTTTTAAATTTTCTTTTTTGAAGAATATTTTTATTCAGCTAGACATTGGGGCACATGTCTTTAATCTCAGCAATTGGGAGGCAGAGGCCAGCACATCTCTGAGTTTAATGCTAACCTGGTCTATAAAGTGAGTTCCTGGACAGCCAGGGCTACACAGAGAAACCCTGTCTCAGAAAATCAAAAAGAAAAGAAATTTAAATTCACATTTTATGTGTATTTTGTCTGCACACACGTCTGTGTACCGTGTGTATGCAGTGCCCACAAATCCCCTGGAACTGGAATTTCGCACAATTGTAAGATGCTGTGTGGGTGGTGGGAATCCAACTTGGATTCTCTGGAAGAGCAACCAGTGATCTTAATTGCTGAGGCATCTCTCTAGCCCTCTTTAGAAAATGTACGTATAGCTGGATGATGGTGGTGTATGCCTTTAATCCCAGCATTCAGGAGGCAGAGGCAGGTGAATCTCTGAGTTTGAGACCAGCCTGCCTGGTCTACAAAGTGAGCGAGTTTCAGGACAGACTCCAAAGCTACACAGAGAAACCTGTTTGAAAAACAAACAAAAACCCATCCCAGACAAATGAAAAAATGTATGTATAATATGTATTCGTATATGAGATATATATATTGATCTCACCCAGCGTGCTGTTGGCACTGCTACAAACAAGCAAGCCCTGGGCAGCCAGGAGGATGAATGCACGCAGTGAGCATATGATGCACTCCAAGAGCCACAGCTTCCTGAACCGGCTGCGGGAAAATGATCAGAGAAAGAAGGAAGCCAAAAACAAAGGCTCCCAGGCTCAATGATCAATTAGTGATCTTAATTGCTGAGTCACCTCTCCAACCCTCTTAAAACATATGGTCCTGCCTCAATAAGATGACTGAGACAGACTTAGTTGACTTCCTCTTAACCTCTCTGAGGAATGGATGCCGGTGGTGGGAAGGGGGAAGTAGGAGGAGAGGAGGGAGGGGGAACTGGGATTGGTATGTAAAAAATGATTGATTAATTAATATATTAAAATATATAATATATAATACACAATATATTTTAAAATAAGATATACACTAAAATTAATTAATTAATATATACGCACATGCGCATGTACATACGCTAGGTGAGCTAGATCCCAGCTTTTGTGAATTCTTCTGTGACTTTTCACTATGTAAGATCTTGTTTCCTGCAAATAAATGCAGTTTTACTACACCCCTTTCAATGGGACACCTCTTACTTTCTTGGACAAAAGGTGATTGACTGAATTCCTGCCTTAGACCCAATAGTGGCTCAACTACTTTGTAGAATGGAGCATCAGTCCATCATGACCAAGTAGTGGGTTTGTGTAGCAGTGGAGAAAAGAGGCATCCTGATTTTGTTCCTGACCTCGGGGACCTGTCCAGTCTCTGCTGTCTGACAGTGACAGCAGCACAGTCTTTCCCTGTGCCCTTCGTGTGCGAGGGCCTCCTCCCTTTCCTTCCTAGCATGCTGAGTATTCCAGGAAAGGTGCTGCAGTTGTCGAATGTTTACTACACTGATTTATTTCCATAGACAGAGCTGATTTTTTTTCCAGTCTAGAGTTATTTTTCTTTTATTGTTATGTCTGATACACTGAATTCATAGGGAGTTCATCAATTTGGGCTCCTTTCCATTAGTCAATCTCTCGGGGAAGTAGGCTGGCATGGCCACTGAACCTTTCTTTTTGGGCTTCCTTCTTTCTCTGATCATTTTCCCGCAGCCAGTTCAGGAAGCTGTGGCTCTTGGAGTGCATCATATGCTTACTGCGCGCATTCATCCTCCTGGCAGCAGCCCTGCCCAGGGCTTGCTTCTTTGTAGCAGTGCCAACAGCACGCTGGGTGACATTGTGGACTCTTCCAGTTTTGCCATGGTAACTTTTATGGGGTGTTCCTTTTTGAGTACTCCCATCCCTTTGATGTCTACACTGTCTCCCTTCTTGTACATTCCCATATATGTGGCCAAGGGAGCAACTTGGCATCCTGAAAGGCCTGGAGAACAATATTAGTGGCTGTCATCTTTCCCTTTCCTTCGTGTCCCAGCTAATGACTGGAAGATGGAGGCTCTGACTGATAGCTGAACCATCTTTATATTTACTTGGTCACAGTGTGTAGTTTTCCTCTTTCTTCTGTAACGAGCTCTCCCTGAGCTGTGCAGGCAGACTTTAGGTTCCCGAGGCCGTCCTGCCTCTGATTCTCACAGCAGCCAGTATTACAGTCAGTTTTAGACTGTTTGCTTTGTTTTGGTTTAAGACACTGGCTCATTCTAGACCACGTTGCCCTAGAGTTCACTGTGTAGCTCAGGATAGCCCTGGAACTTTCTGAAATCTTTCTGCCTCGGCCTTCTAAGTTCTGGGATTGCAAGTGTGAGTTGTCACACCTGACTTTCAGCTTTAGACAGTTTTCACTATCCTAAAAAGAACCTTTCTCACACTGCTTCTCACACTCCCATCTCCAGACCCTCATCATCCCAGGCCCGGGCAACCTTTAATCCACTTTTTGTCTCCACAGAGTTAGCTGTTGGACATTTTATGTAAGTGGGCATATATAGAAATTTTCCTGAACTTATGAAAATGTGTCATACGTTAGAACCATCGCACTGCGAACACACCTGACATGCCTAGCTTCCCTGAGCATCATTGTGTAGCCACAGTAGAATGGCTGAGTTTTGGTTATGTACTCTTGAATTGCAGGGCTGATTGAGAGTCCCACACATGAGAGAGAGAGTCCTGCTGTATACTGCCAGCCTGGGAAAAGGCTGATATTTAAAATGGGAAATACACTTTCTACAGAATGCCTGCACTTTCACAAAGTCAGAATGGCCCTCAATTTGTGGTCCTTTGTGACTGATTCGCTTCTTTGCCTTTGGCAAAAGTGACGGTGCAGCTGCTCTGTAGGATGGAGCAGCAGTCTGCCATCTCTTTTTCTGACCAAGTAGTAACCCATCATGTGGGTCCTGTGTTGGGCATTTTATTGTTTCCATTTTTAAATAACATTTATTAGTCTGGGGAGATGGCTGTCTTGTTGAGAGCACTGTCTGCTTTTGTAGAGGACCCAGATTGGATTCCCAGCACCTGCATGGTGATCTGCACCTGTCTGCAGCTCCAATTCCAAGAGATCCAGCACCTTCTGACCTCTGCAGCACCAGGCATGCACATGGTGCAGATACATCCCTACAGGCAAAACTTTCACACATTAAGTAAAAATATTTTAAAAATCAGAAATCTAAAATTAAAAAAACCCGCAAAATATGTGCCCTGGGGTGTGTGTAGGTCAGAGAACAACTGTGGGAGTTGGTTCTCTTTACTGTTTGCTCAGCACCCACCAAGCCATCTTGCTGGCCCTGTTTCTGTTTTGTGTGTGTAGTGAATGTATGTGCAGGTGTGCAGAGAGGTCCTTGGGTGTCCTCTGCTCTGTCACTCACCATATTACTTATTTGGGACAGGATCTCTTACAGAACTTGGACCTTGCTGGGTTTTGGCTAGCAATCAATACACCCCAGCCATCCTCCTGCCTCTGCCTCCCAAATACTGAGTTTAAAAGTGTGGCACCACCACTGCCCAGCTTTCAGAAATGTATTTGTTTGTTTGTTTGTTTATTTGATTTTTTCCAGACAGGGTTTCTCTGTAACTTTGGAGCCTTCAGAAATCTTTTAAGAAGTGAGTTCTTGGGGAGTGTTGACTATGCATATGTGTGTGCCCATAAGCAGAGGACTTGAATATTTACTCAGGACAAATGGAAAAGATCAAGGGTACTCGGAGGGTGGTACAGTGGTTTGACATCTGATCTCCTGCATGGCTATGTTGATAAATATCAGCCTATGGGACTTGAGTGTTTAGAGACCGGACATCCCTTAGGACAGTCTTTGCTGGCAAGGATAGCTTGCCACTGCCATATATGCTAAGGCAGTGGCGCTCTGGGACACTGTTGCAGGCGCCTTCCTGCCTGGCATGACCTGTGGATCACTTGGGCCCAGACCAGTGCCCCAGCCTGCGTCAGCAGGTGCCACCTTCAAGGCTCCCCTGGGAGAGACTCATCTACCTTCCTCCCAGTGTGGTGCCCCCATGAGTCACTGTCATCCTGGGCTGCCTGCCTGCTGGGACACTGTTTAACCTTGCCCTGACCTTTTCTCTTTCTGCACCGTTTCAGGTGAATACATCAAGACTTGGAGACCCCGGTACTTCCTTCTGAAGAGCGATGGCTCTTTCATTGGGTATAAGGAGAGACCTGAGACCCCTGACCAGACCTTACCCCCTCTGAACAATTTCTCTGTAGCAGGTGCGTTTCAGGGCAAGGAGGTTGGAATTCCACAGTTCACAGCTTTGCTGACAGGTGTTGGGGACACATGGAACAGTTTTGCTTGAGCCAGAACCTGTCTTAGGCCTGTTCATCCTCAGATCTGACTTCTACCCTTTTCTGCTGTTGCTCCTTGTCAGTGGGCCTTTTCCCTTCTGGAGACAGTGAGAAGTCATGATGTTTCTGCACACCTCACCCCTTCGGGCTCTGTGGCTTTAGCTAGTGTCCTGTCTGCTCTGGTAACAGAGTTGTCCCTCCTCTTTGCCCCGCTGAGCTGCTCCAGGGCTCACCGTATGTCCTCAGTTCCCCTGTGGTACCTAACCTGGAGTTTTCTTTTTTTGTGTTTTTCAAAACAGGGTTTCTCTGTGTAGTCCTGGCTGTCTTGGAACTCACTCTGTGGAGCAGACTGGCCTGGAACTCTGAGATCCGCCTGCCTCTGCCTCCCCAGTGCTGGGATTAAAGGCATGTACCACTACTGCCCAGCAAGGAATTTTTTAATATAAATGTAATGTAGCCTAAATATGCAGTATCCAGAAAGGTGACAGCAGTCACCAGCTACATCCACTGCCTCACCCAAAACAACTGTCAGGGGACCCTGCAAGCTCAGTTCCTATGCAGATATGAACTTTGAAAAAATTATATATAGTATTTCTATAGTACCTCTTCTCTGAATAGATGTGTTCAGAGAATTGCCACTGTGTTACTACATCCACAATATTCAGTACAGTTGCATGCTGTGCATGTTCATAGCTGGGATGCATGTATGCTGTCCTGTGTACATCGGGTAAGCACACTTTGTTGTTTCAATGTGGCTTTTTCTAACATCAATGAAACTACCTGAGGACACAATCCTAAGAGCACGTCCCCATCTTGAAGCAGTGTGTGCTTCCCTAAACCAGTAATAGTTATTATCAAGTACTATTTATTATACTTAACTGTATGTAGTACTTTTTTTTTTTTGTTTATTGAGACAAGGTATCTCTGTAACAGCCCTGGCTGTCCTGGAACTCACTCTGTAGACTAGCCTGGCCTCAAACTAACAGAGATCCTCATGCCTCTGCCTCCCTAGTGTTGGGATTTAAAGGCATGCACTGCCTAGCTAACCTAGTAGTTTCTTGCTTGACCAGCCCAAGATCCCCATTGTGCGCCTGTCTCCTTCCTTCACTATGGACCTAACACCATGTCCTTGTCATACCTGCTGAGAATGTTTCACAGATTACCCTGTCTCCGTTACCCCAGAACCCCTCCTTCTTGAGGACCTCACTGCAGCTTCTGCCTATCCCTCCAGCTCTCCCTCCTGCAGATTCCGGAACCCAGCCTAGCACCCACCCCTTCTGCAGAAAGCCTTTTTCTGGCGCTCTCTTCCTGTGCCCATGTCCCTGGCACATCTTTTAGCACACCAGCTTCTCACTTGAGCTGCCAGCCCATCTCCAGCAGTTTCTTGAGAATTTTTTTGGGGGTGGCCTCTAGAACTCCATCCTCTTCATATCCCAGGTTGACCTTCCTGTTCCTCCTCCCACCACCTTCTCTTTCTCTGTGTCTGCATCCCCATCTCATCTGTTTTGCTCTAGATCTCAGGCTAGCTCTGGATGCCCCTCCCTGTCCTATAGCCCAGTGCCCTTCTTTCCCCAGCCCTGCTCTACTCCGCCCTAGCTCATTCTCCCCATTAACTCTCTGTTGCTGGCTCTGGCCTTCAGCAAGAGGAACCTGCCTCACTTTTTCCATATTCCTGCCCAGCTTAACCCACCTCTCCAGACTTGAGGCTTCTATCTCCTGTGGCCTGCTGTGTACTACTCTCTGTCTTACTTACTTGACCCCCTTGCCTTCTGGGCTCAGCTCAGAGATGTTCCAGCCTCAGGAACGGCCTCCCTAAGGCCCAGACCGGGATAGACGCCTTCTGTGTCTTTTCCTAGCTGACTGTGACTTCTCAGTTGTTGCCAGTGGTTTGGCTTTCAAAACATGGTGGACCTCACTTTTTGTCAGGAGAAATGCCTTTCTGGACATCAGAGTGTATTCAAGGCCAGCCTGAATAACTCAGTGTAAAACCCTGTTTCACAAGAATAAAGGAGGCTAGAGCCCTTGCTTAGTGGTAGAGCCTTTGCCTGGTGTGCATTAGACCCTGAGTTTTATCCTTGGAACTATAGCAATGCAGTGGAAAGAAGAAAATAAGAAACTGTAAGGGAGGTGCTTGGGAAAAGTCTCACTTCTGCCTCATCTATGCAGAACTTCAGTTTCTTGTGCCCTTGAAGAGCAAGTGAAGATTGTGACATCCTTGCCTTAGAGGACATGGTCAGGACTGGACTGTCTCAGTCCTTGACATCATCTGGTATGGGGGTTGGCACACAGAAGATGACTTGGAGAATGTGGTCTTTAGGCAGCAGGACCGTCTCTCACTCTTTCCTGCCTGTACCCTCTAGAATGCCAGCTGATGAAGACTGAGAGGCCACGACCCAACACCTTTGTCATACGCTGCCTGCAGTGGACTACGGTCATCGAGAGGACCTTTCATGTAGACTCTCCAGACGAGAGGTGAGTCTGCACCTCTGTGTGGCTGTCCTCTGAGAATGGACAGACCTGGTGTGACGGCAAGAGGTTTGATGGACAGAATCCTTTGGGATACTATGGAAGAATTCTTTACGTGGAACCTGTCTGACTTGTGGTCTTCCCAACTGGAGCTGAGAAGAACTGGATACTTGATCTAAAGATCCCACTCCACATCTTCAGACTCTGAGAACTTATCAGAGTCCTGGGAAGAACTGGAGTTCTTCCCTGTTCATAGCCTAGAGACTTGCCAACTGCATTCCACATAAGCACTTTCATTTGAAGCAGTGGTCCAAAGGTCAGTTACAAAGTTCAGTGTAGGGTGCTAGAGATGTAGCTCAGTTGTTTGTAGAGTCTAGCTTAGAATGCATGAGGCTCAGGCTTCAATCCTCCAGTACCACATAAACTCGGCATGGTGTCCCATCCTTATAATCCTACCACTGGGGAGATGGAGACAAGAGGTTCACCCTGGCCTACATAGGAAGTTCAAGGTCATCTTGTCTTTAAAAAAAAAGAAGAAAAAAAAAGAGCCAAGTGTGATGGTGTATGCTCATAATTTCAGTACTTGGCAGACTGAGGCAGCAGAAATGCAGTTCTAGACCTCTAGGCTACAGAATGAGATCCAGGCCAGTCTGACTTAGGATGGCTACCTCATCTGTGTGCTCCCCAACCTCTGCAGCTTGCAGTTTCTTTGTGCCCTTGAAGAGCAAGTAGAGAGACTCTGGCACTCTATGCCTCGAAGGCCGCAGCACAGCACTGTGAACTTACTGCTTTTGCCGAGTGCTCTGTCTCGACAGCCTCTCTAACTGCACAGGTGACTCTTGGTCGCACCATGCTCTTTATTTCTTTTGGGGCAGCCACACATGGTGTCCCTGAGTTTATTTAGTGAGTTCTAGGGTGCTGTGTTTCCAGCCTCTAGCTCATTACAGGCAGCGTTGCTGTGAAGCATCGTATGTGTCTGTCTCTTTGGTCACATGAATTCAGTTCTAATCCATAGGATGATTCTTTGGGCTAAGATTGAGGCTTATAGGAGGATGCATTTCTAAGTCAGGCAATGTCTGAGAATGTCCCTGTAACCTCGTGTTGTCAAATGTGTGGATTCTTAGCTATCTAAGCATGATTAGATACATTCTTTGTGGATACATTTGCCCTCGAGGAGTTTCTTTTTCTGAACTATCTGTTCAGTAGTTTTATCTCTCTCCCCTGGCTGAGCTGGGCTGCTGTTTTCATTTATATTTGTGTAGCAGACAGTCTCCTAGACTTTGCTTTGAGAAGCACTTCTCTTGCTGGTTCATGGGGCGAGCTTCTGCTGTACCTATGGGAACTTTGAAGCAGGCTACCTTATACCGCTTGTTCCATGTACATCCCAGGGTGAAAGAGAGCTCAGCTGTTGGTGCTGATTGAGTATTTCTGGTGTAGCACTGGAGAAATAGAATGTTGGCTTTCTTTACCTTATTTATTTGTTTGTTTGTTTGTTTATTCATTCATTTTTAAAAGGGGGCTTGTGTAGTTCAGAATGGCCTTGAATTGATGTGTATCCAAGACTAGTCATTAACTTTTGATCCTCCTGCCTCTGCCTCCGCCTCCCATCTGTTTGGATTACAGATGTGCGCCAGCAAAACTGGTGACTTCATTGACTCCCAATTGATTTTAGTAGCAGTGGGTGTAGCTAATAGTTGCCCTCTTGGACAGTGCTGTTCTAGAGCCTGCACAACACAATATCACGATGCTACCACAATCTATACCGTAATTATTGTTGCATATCTCCCCAAGTTAAAAATATACTTGCCTCACCACAGGGAGCAGAATTATCAACTCAGACCAGCTGAAGTGTTACTCAGTTGAAAACTGGAGACCAAATATGGACTGCTAGCAAAAGCAGACCTAGGCTAACAGATGTTAGTTCATGGGTGTTGGTGAGTTTTGAAGGATGGACACGAGTGTGACTCTGGGGATAGGAAGAGAACAGTCCAGGGAAGTGGATTGACCAGAGTATGCAGAGGGGAAACAGCATTTTTTTTTTAAAGTTTTTTTGAGACAGGGTTTCTCTGTAGCTTTGGGGCCTGTTCTGGAACTAGCTCTTGTAGACCAGACTGGCCTTAAACTCACAGAGATCCGCCTGCCTCTGCCTCTCAAGTGCTTAGATTAAAGGTGTGAGTCCTCGACTCAGTGAAACAGCTCTTGTGTCCCGGGGACCTTAAGGAGTTCTGTGTCAGCAGAGAATCGGGGACTGCTGTTGGGAGGTGGGGGGGGAGTAGAGGCGCCCAAAGCTGGCAGCCCTCTTTGGCTCTGAGTGGAGATCCCTGCAGGGCTTGGCAGGCGCTTAGTAAGCTGGGGTTTGTCATAGGGTTGTTAAGAGATTCAGAGGATGATAAACAGGAAGCCTGGGGCAGCAGTACCTGGCACCAACGGCTGAGGCCTGGGAGAGGGCATCAGCCACTGGCCAGTGAGATCTTATTTCATTTTACAAGACAACTTGTCCTCAGTAGCTGAGAGTCCTATGCTAAGATGAGGGTTTGTTAAGACCAAGATGAAGGTTGGCTTCTTATTCTTTATTTCCTTAGCACCCTCTGCTAATGGAGAGAAGGCGTCTGGGTTGGCCCTGCCCTGGAGACCAAGCTCTTGGTTCCAAAGGCAGAACCAGAGGCAGAGCAAGAGGGCGGTTCCTCCACTGTGGAGAAGGCCCATGCTGTCCTCACTGTCTTGTTCATGCAGGCCCAAGCTTGCTGGCTGTCCTGAGTGTGCATATGGGGACTGCAGGGTGGGAAAGCAGGAACCACTGCTGGATAGTTGCTACCTAGATGCTCTGACTCCCGCTCTGGGCTTTGGAATGTTTCCCTGCCACCTTCTAGCTGGGCCCTAACAGCCATTCTGCCAATTTTGCCAGTTTCCTTTTGTTCTTGTCCTTCCTTCCTTCCTTCCTTCCTTTCTTCTTTCCTTCCTCCCTCCCTCCCTCCCTCCCTCTCTCCCTCCTTCCCTCCCTCCCTCCTTCCCTCCTTCCCTCCTTCCCTCCTTCCTTCCCTCCTCCCCTCCTCCCCTTTCTTTTTTTCTTTTTGAGACAGGGTCTCACTATGTAGAACAGGTTAAATTACTTATAGAGATCCACCTGCCTCTGCCTCCTGAGTGCTGGGATTAAAGGAGTGCGCCACCTGTTAAAAGATAAGGTTTTTATTGTAGGTATTAGAGACTAACCAGAGGCATCTAGAAGAGTCTAGAATAGAGGGGTGACCATAGATGGCCATGGATGGGGGGCAGAGAGAGAGAGCATTGCTGACATAGCAGGGTTTAGGAGAGTGAGCACTGGGGAGGGAAGCCCTGAGGCTGGAGGAGTATAGGGTAGGGAGGAGGTGAGAAGGCCTACACTGCTAGCATGGGCACTGAAATGTGTAACAGGTGCTGGTGACACTGGGGGAGCCTGGCTTGTGCTGTGCTTGCTTTGCCAACAGGCGTCGCAGATTGCTGTTTGTCCCTTTTGCCTTTTCTTTGGATCTGATACCGCCACTACCATGTCCAGCACAGGCTGGTTTTCATGCAGAGAAATTTAGAGTGAGCGCCTAGGAGCCTCACCTAAATTCTGCAGCTCAGCTTTTGCCTGCTTGCCACATCTAGCTGTTGTTTCGCTTTTTCTTTTCAGTTCTCTGTGTGTGTGGGGGGGGAGGGAGATGTGTGAGAATGAATACATGTGCATGTGGAAGGCAGGGATTATCTTGAGGGAGCTGGCTCTCTCTTTCCACCATGCAGGTTCCATGGATTGAACCCAGGTCATCAGATCTAAAGGCAAGTGCCTTCACCTGCTGAGCTGCCTCCCTGCCCTTTTGTATTATTTAAAGCCAGGTCTTGAATTTCTGCTCATACTTATTGGTGATTTACTCTTCAGTCGCCCTCTGCTGAGTGCTTCTCTTACATATCCAGGATTCCACTGTCATACTGGAGGAGTGCAGGATGAGCATCCTTAATATGAAATCCAAAGGGCTCCAAAAGTTAGAACTTTATGTCCTCATGATGCTCAGATGTTCCAGATTTTGGAACAGCCTCTGTGTTCCTCATTCTCCCCACATGTAGAATAAGATTAAGCTGATGGGAGACTAATGGGCTCCTTTACACAGAGAGGACAGTGGCTGTCTCTGCAGTAGGGGAGGCTTGACCAGACAGTACCATCTATGTGAATCCAGAATCCAAGGAACTCCAAGATAGACGCATTCTGGTCCCAACCATTTTAGTTAGGGTTTCTATTGCTATGAAGAGAGACCATGAGCATGGCAACTCTGATAAGAAAAACGTTTAATAAAACATTTAATTGAGATGGCCTGCTTACAGTTCAGAGGTTCATTCCATTGTCATCATGGTGGGGAACTTCGCGGCATGCAAGCAGACATGGTGCTGGCTGTATCTTGGTCAGAAGGCAACAGGAGATAGACTGAGAGTCCTGTATCTTGCAGGCAACAGGAAATGGTCTGTGTCACTGAGAGAAGCTTAAGCAAAAGAGACTTCAAAGCCTATGCCCACAGTGACACTCTTCAGCATGGCCACACTGTCAATAGTGCCACTCCCTATGAGCTTATGGGCCGAATTGCATTCAAACTTCCACAGATACTTAACTTGTAATGTATATGTACTGACCCTCTGCATTATCTGTGTGTGATTGAGTTTTCCTAGTTTTCTTTGTGTGTGTGTGTGTGTGTGTGTGTTCCAGTGCATGCAGGCGTATAAGTACACACTCTGGTGTAGAGTGCCTACCTCTGTTGTTCTCCACTTTACTTTCTAAAGCAGGATCTCTCATTGAACCTGGAGCTTGCTGATTCTTCTAGACTGGCCGGCCAGCAAGGCCTAGGCTCCTCCTGTCTCTTCCCTTGACCTGGGTTACAGACAGTGCTAGGGCTCTTCACTCAGGGTCTTATGCTTACAGAACAAGTATTTCACCCGCCAAACCATCTGCTCAGACCTGACAGTGTTGTTTTTAAACCTGGATTCTCTCTAGGTGCATACCATGTCTTTGGCTTACTCTGATCTAGTTCTTGTATTTCTTTTTTTCCCTTGAGATGCTGATATTCTTGACAAGACAAGCTAGATGCTTTGTGAACCACCTTGTGTTCAGAATAGCTCTTCTTCCTCTGTTCTCCTGTGCCTCTGTTTATCCTATAAACCAGAAGTCATGGCTTCAGTAGGGTTGACAGCTACAGCCCTGTTTGCTGATATGGCAAATCAAATTAGATTGGAGTGTGTCCAGTCACTTGTGTATGAATCGTCTGTGGTGCTTTTGCTCCAACACTGCAGAGTGGATTAAGCACAAGGCTAGAAAAGCTGAAAGTGAACGCCCTACCCCTTCACAGAGTTTGGTCCCTGGTCTGGATGGGAATGTTCAGCAGTGTACTGGACTGGTGTGATCGAAGTTACTGAGTCTGTTCTCAATCACAGTGGGAGGAGATAGATGTCTGGAGGAGGTGAGATATTGAGGGCCACATGGCTAGTAAGCAGCAGGATGAGTCCCAGGCCTGGCTCCTAGCTTCCCAGCCAGTGCAGTGTACTGGCCTGGGGTCTGGCCAGTGATGCTTAAGTAAGCATAGCTTCTCAGATGTTCTTCCTGGCTCTAGAACCCAGGGGAAGTGTCCTTTGCTTTACTCCAGTACTCCGAGAATGGTGTCCCTTGGTCTGTGAACATTCCTGAGGAAGTGTTATCCTTTTTCATCCTCCTGGACCTCAGCTAGGGATTGAGGCCTGGGCTGTCTTCAGCTTCTCTCTGGGTAGACACTCAGGTCCCCGGCACACGGAGGAGTGATTGTGTGACACCCACCGGCCAGGCATGACTTGTGACTGTGGAACTGCTGTTGACAGCTGCTAATTTTCTAGTGCTGTCTTTTGACTGGGAAGACCTTGGTTTCTTGCAGCTTCTTTGGGGAAAGGGAAGGCACTGGAATGCCAACTTTGGGTGGAAGCTCCCTCTGCCCCAGACACCATGTTGCAAACCCTTGAGGAGTGTCCTGGACCAAGGCCCTCACTTTTTCTCCAGAATTCTGAGTGCTGCAACCTGGCAACTTTGGCCCAGTTGGAACCAATTGGTGGCTGGTCAGGAGGTGGGAGAGCCTGTTAGCACAACTTGCCTCCTGGGAAATGCTCTTGTGCTCCAGCCAGATGGATGGTCTAGCTCAGGCTCTGCCCTGTGTCTTCACACCTTCCAGGAGGCTAGTACCTTCTGACCTGGAGCTTGCAGGCTCAGCAGCCCTGTCTGCAGGCGGAGCGTGAGCTGGAAGGGATGAACATGGACAGTCGAGCCTTGTCCTTGCCGGTGTAGCTCTGCATTCTGTATTTGCAGTCTCACTAGGAGCAGCCCCTTGAGTTGTGCTCTCTTCCTGTCAACAAAGGCAGTAATCATACTGTGTATCTTAGTCTGGAGTCTCAAATCTGTGTATATGAAAGACTGTGTGAGAGAGCCGGGCGGGGGTGGCACACACCTTTAATCCAGCACTTGGGAGGCAGAGGCAGGTGGATCTCTGTGAGTTCAAGGCCAGCCTGGTCTACAAGAGCTAGCTAGTTCCAGGACAGATTCTAAGGCTACAGAGAAACCTTGTCTTAAAAAAAAAAAAAGAAACGATACCTGTTAGGTAGGTCTGTGATTTCCAGTCCGCCATCATAATACTAAATAGTGTTATAGTGTTTAAAAACATTTTAGCCAGGCGTAGTGGCTCACACCTTTAATCTAAGCACTCAGAAGTCAGAGACAGGCAGATCTCTGTGAGTTTGAGACCAGCCTAGACTACAGAATGAGTTTCAGGACAGCCAGGACTACACAGAGAAACCTGTATTTGGAAAAAAAAAAAAAAAAAAAAAAAGACCACACACAGCATTTTTGTTTCTTTTGATTTCCCGAGACAGGGCTTCACTGGAGACCACGAGGCCCTGAACTCACAGAGATCGAGTGCCGGGATTAAAGGCATGGCCCACCGACTAACACAGACCTACATCTTAAAAATTCCTTTTACGAAGTTGGGCAGTAGTGGCACATGCTTTTAATCCTAACACTCAGGAGGTAGAGGCAGACAGATCTCTGTGAGTTCGAGGCCAGCCTGTTCTACACAGTAAGTTCGAAGGACAGGTTCCAGAGCAACCCTGTTTGGAAAAACCAAACAAACAAAAACCAAGCCCATTTACACATACATACCATAGCACATGTATGGATATCAGAGGACAGCTTATAGGTCTGTTCTTCCCTACTGTGTGAGTCCTGGTTTGAGGTCAGGTGGTCAGCTTGATGGCAGGAGCCTTGACCCTGTGAATCATCTTGCCAGTGTCAAAGTCAGTATTTTAAACATGTAAGGGAACAGCTATGGTCATTTAAAGCAGCATGTGTCACCCCCCCCCCCCGCCCCTGCCCCACTCTCTGTTTCAGAAAACAAGAATATTGATATAGAGATTGGGTTTTAGACTGTGACTTGTCCAAGGGGGACACAGGTTAAAACCGATTGAGAAATGCTGATTGGAGGATCAACTTAGAGGGAAGAGGCTAGTACTGCCTGCCTGGGTGTACACTGCCTCACTGTGCACACTGGCCTCGCTGTGCGCACTGCCTTACCATGCTCTCTGGCCTCACCGTGTGCACTGCCTCACTGTGTGTGCTGGTCTCACTGTGCGCTCTGACCTCACTGTGTAAAGGCTCTGGGGCAATGGGAACTTGTGGCCACCTGAATCTTTATACCTACCAAGTACCCAACTACTTGCTAGAAGTAGTTGCTAGAAGCATGCCCCATTGAAAATGGGAAGAAGTTGGGCTTGGTGTTGCATATCTATCTTAGTACTGGCAGTGCTCAGGCCAGATACTTAAAAGGTCTAGGCCCAGTTGGGTGTTAGTGGTGCATGTCTTTAATACCGGCACTTGGGAGACAGAGGCAGGCAGATCTCTGTGAGTTTGAGGCCAGCCTGATCTAAAGAGCAAGTTTCAGGACAGCCAGGGCTACATAGAGAAACCATGTCTTAAAAGCTCCATAGCAAGCCACCGTCTCACAAAAACAAAGAGCAGATGTCAGTTCCTGCCTTGTGGGGTTTGGGGGCCTCCAGTCTCTTGGGTAGGGAGGAACAGTGTGCTAGCATTGTCCATACACCAGTCCCATAGAGCATTGTGTGCAGTCCACACATCTCTCACAGAGTGTGACCTCACAGGTAAAAGGCCAGTTGGGGAAGGCAGATCCCTCCAGATGGTAACAGGAACCTCTCAGCTTTGTTTCTGCTTGCTTCAGCAAGGCTGGAGCTGAGCAGGAGCTCCCTTGCCTTCTGGCCCTAGGAAAGGGCACAGGTCATCTGAGAGTCCAGTGACCAGGCTTGGAGCCCTCTTGCTGAGGTTTTTTTTTGGGGGGGTGTGGGTGGGGGTGGGGGTCTGGTTTTGTTGTTTGTGCTAGGAAGGAGCCCGTGCCTTGGGCATGATGGACAAGTACTCTGCCACTAAACCACATTCCCTGAGTCTCAGTTTTCTCTTTTGTGATGTGGGGAGGGAAGTAGGTGTTCTGCATTTGTTAGAGGCTGTCTCTGATCCCCTGCTTTCTAATTCCCCTTCCTGGGGACAACCAGGACTCCCAAGTCACCCCCCACCCTCAACTGTTGCAAAGGAATGTTTGTGCCTTCTGAGCCCCATGTGAGGAGAGCATTGTCTAACTCTGAGCACAGACCTCCAGACTGCTGTGCACTGTTTCCTTCTTCGTGTAGGTGTTTTAAGTCATCTCAAGTCTGTGCAGACTTGTGTCAGCCTTTAGCTACAGAGTATCATCACATACACACTCACGCCTTTTCTGTGCCCCCAACAGTCCCAAGACACTGATGCCTTGCTCCATTGTTACTAAGATGCCACCTTCAGAAAGACATGCTGTTGTTTCCCACCATTCTCAGGCCCTTTTCTAGACACAAGCAAACTACACAGAGGTTCAGGCACCCTACAGTTGCTCTGTTGCTGGTCAAAAATGAAGGATGTGGAAAACCGAGTGTTATGCAGCCATATGTCTGTGTGCGAACTCTGGTCATTTGCACCACCTCACAGACAGAATGCTTTGCAAAGATCAAGACACCTTCTAGCTCAGGAGTGCCAGCACCAGCTTTCTATCCTCCAGTCATCCCCTCTACTGGAACTGACCTCCACTCCACCAGCTTCTCTTCCTTGTGCCTGACTGGCTGGGCACCTTGGGGTCCCGCTGGCCAGCTCTTGCCTCATAAGATCTGTGGCTGCTCTGACTACTGAGGTTTCCTTTTCTTTCTGCTTTCTTTGCACAAAACACCAGTAGCTTGGAAGTCTGAGCTTCTCACTTGCTCTGAAGTAGTTCAAGATAGCGCTGGTTGTCTCACCCCAAGGCTCAGTGTGACTTCTTAGTCTCAAGGACCTCACACAAAGTGTTATCTTTCCTTTGATCATCTCCACATTCCCTGACTTTAAGGTTCCTCCCTGCAGTGCACCTCAGAAGGTGGCAGATCTGTCTTTATGTCTCTGCTGCACTCTGCAGCCTGAGCCTGTACGACTTTAGTCAAGACCCATCAGTTCTGCCAGCCTTGGATCTCAGCAAGTGCTGGAAGGGACTTGGCCATCGGCTTGCCCTTTGTGGGCAGTGGGCTGTGGCTGGGCATGGAGGAATTCTCAGGACTTGTGTTGTGTCTCATACAGGGAAGAGTGGATGCGGGCTATCCAGATGGTCGCCAACAGTCTGAAGCAGCGGGTCCCGGGTGAGGATGCCAAGTGTGGCTCCCCCAGTGACTCTTCCACGTCTGAGATGATGGAGGTGGCTGTCAACAAGGCACGGGCCAAAGTGGTAAGTGCTGGTGGCAAGTGGCCAGGGGCTGGGGCTGTAGCAAACCTGCCTGCCTGGGTTTCCACACAATGTACAGGGGGCCTGCAAGGGTCTTCATGACTTCCTTGTGTAGGGTGACTTCTGGTTATGGATGTTGTTGTGGGGCTGCTCTGTGCTCATGGGGTGAGAGACGGTGCCAGGGCAAAGTGCTCTGAATCTATTGGGGAGGTTGAAGGCTCATACTGGGAAAGCCTAGGCCTGCCTGTAGCTCCAGCACACAAGAGTTGCCATCTACTTCCTCTTCCCCAGTCCCCCATGAAGACCTTGAGCCATAGTGTCTTTTGAGTGTCCTCTTCCTTGTTAAATTGTCATCCCATGGACCAAATGCCAAACACCAAAGGCTGTGTGTTCTCCCTACCCACAGACCATGAACGACTTTGATTATCTCAAACTTCTTGGTAAAGGCACCTTTGGCAAAGTCATCCTAGTGCGGGAGAAGGCCACTGGCCGCTATTATGCCATGAAGATCCTGAGGAAGGAGGTCATCATTGCCAAGGTGGGCCACTGAGGGCCGGGGTTGGGAGGAGACTTCAGCAGGAGTGTCCAAAACTAGCATTGTAGTAACTTTAGGTTAGACCTGATTGGCTTTAGTTGTGGTTTGTGAAGTAGGGCAGCCTCAGTTCTGTAAAGAGTGCTCCTTCCAGGTCAGGACAGAACAGTTCAGACGGCAACAGCAGCAAGGAAACAGAACACAGAGGGAAAACTGAATGGTTAACATTAGGTCATCTCGGGCTACCTTTTATTGGGACTAAAAGGCAGAGGAAACTTTCTTATCATGCAGCCTCCTGTTTTTAGGAAAACTGATCTCTGCCCATCCAGCTGCTTCTGCTGGGCCCTAGTGCTTGGTTCATAACAGTGGCCTGTAATGGATGGAAAGGGCTCAGCAGTGGGGCATGTGACAGACATACGCAAGGCCCCATTCCAGAATGAGTACCTTAAGATGACAAGAGCCATCCATTTTAGGAGTGAGGAAGAATGCTGAGAATGGAGCCCAGGGTCTGCTAGTTACCCCTGCAAGTTCTGTGCCACTGAACCATACCCCAGTGTCCTCAGGAGCTACTATATGGTGCTGGACCATACTTGGTAGCTCTTTCAGGGTTGGGACATTTGCCCCTGCCATCTGATGCTGTGTCCTTATTTTTTCCCACACATTCTGTCCCAAGCTCAGGATCACTGTCTGAGGAGAAAAGCCTGAGCCCCAGAGACCTGAGCTGCACTCAGTAGGTGCTGTTAGGAAGTATGACAGGGAGAGCTCAGCGGGCAGGAGCTTGCTCCACTAGTGCACGTGCCTGGATTTGATCCCAGCCAAAACAGTTCTCTTGGCTTTGTTTGTTTTGAAGATTTATTTATTGTGTATACTGTGTGCTGCCTACATGTACACCTACACACCAGAAGAGGGCGCCAGATCTCATTACAGATGGTTGTGAGCCACCATGTGGTTGCTGGGAGTTGAACTCAGGACCTCTGGAAGAGCAGCCAGTGTTCTTAACCTCTGAGCCATCTCTCCAGCCCCTCTTGTTGTTTTTTAACCTTATTTAAAGTTTTTATAATAGAAGATTCCAAATTCACATACACCTGACTATCCTGGAACTCTCTGTAGACCAGGCTGACCTCAAACTCAGAAATCTGCCTCTGCCTCTCAAGTGCTCAAGTTAAAGGCATGAGTCACCATGCTTGGGTGAAACTTTTAAGAAGGAAAAATAAACACAATTAGACTGTCTGTATGGTTGTGATTGTTAAGCAGTTACCAGTATTGAACCTTGTTTCATTGACTCTGCTCTCACTTTCTTTGGGGATCCCTGCAAGTGCTGTGGCCAGCAGGGAGAGGAACCACAGGAAAGAAGGAAACCTGATTCATCACAACTTAGTTAGCCTGGCTGGCTCAGACTTGGGGAGTATGACCCTGGTTTATTTTTGACAAATTTAAACACCGTGCAACTTTGGGAAAGGGTATCCTTGTGACAGTTAACACAGCAAAACTGAAGACTCCTTTTCTAGTACACGCCTTCCGCAGAGCACCTTTGGCCTTGCCTACGAGAGAAGCAGTGCTCAAGACAAGGCTCTAGGGAGGAGGGACTTTTCATTTGCTTTATTTTGTTTTGTTTGACACAGGGTCTCTGTGTGGCCCTGGCTGTCCTAGAGCTCACTCAGTAGATCAGGCCTTGAATTTAAGGATGCGCCTGTCCCTGCCTCTGGAGTGTACCACCAGTGCCAGTGAAAGGAAGGGTTTGTAATAAGCTTAGTAGTGCTTTACTACTGCTGAGTACACGAGCCCTCTCTGTAACAATGAGTGGGTTATATTGACTGAGAAACCATACTCGGGAGAAAAGGGATTTGGGTGAGACCTGACTTTCCAGAATAGCAGACTAACACATCCATTTCCAGCCTTCTGGAGGGAAGCTGGTGTTCATCCCTCCCATTGAGACAAGCCTGTGTTCTTAACAACTCTGCTTCTCTATTGCTGTCTATAAGTGCATGGGCCACCTGTCCTCTATAGGCTGTTTTGTTTCCTTTATTTTTTTGTTTTTGTTTTTTAATTGTGTTGTTGTTTTGCCTGCATGTGTGTCTATACACCATATGTGAAATGCCCAAGGAGGCAAAAAGAAGGCATTAGATTTCCTGGAACCAGAGTTAAGTTGTGAGCAGCCACATGGGTTCCAGGAATTGAACCTGGGTCCTCTGGAAGCAAACATTTTTAACCACTGAGCCATCTTTGCAGCCCCTCAGCTCTTTTTTTTTTTTTTGAGTCTAGAGTATCGAGTATTTTCAGGTATATTCTGGACATATCATTCCACCTGTGTATATTTTTTAAAAATTTTTTAAAAGATTACTTGTATGTATTTGTGGGGAGAGTGCAGTTGCCTGTGAGAGCCTGAAGAGGGTGCCAGGTCTCCTGGAGTTGGAGTTGCAGGCCATTATGAATGGACTAACATGGTGTCTGGGAATTGAATTTGGGTCCTCTGCAAGAAGAAACAAAACTACTTATAGACTCTTGATAGAATTGATCCAGGGCAGGGCTTGTCAGCTTCAGCACTGTATTGTGGGCCTTGTTCTTCAGAGTGGGGCTGTTCTGTTCGTTATAGGAAGGTTAGCATCCCCAGCTGTGCACGCAGAGGGTACCAGCAGCCTCCCCACTTGTAATAATCAGAAGTGATCTGATACCCAGCGTCTCCCAAGTGTAAGCCCTCGTCCAGGTTGTTGAAGTAGTAAAAGGAGGCATCAGGAAGCTCTCCTGCAGTTCTGCCCTTGGGCAAACACCAAACTTCAACTTGTGAGGCAATGTCCTCCCCACCTCTCAAGTGCCCACCCTGAGTTTCTGACAAAGTGGACCCAAAGAGTTTGTGTTTCTACAAGTTCCCTGGGAGGTGGATGGTGTCGGACCCCACCCTGAGGAGTACTGCTTAGAACTAGAGCCAGGTCCTTCTCTAAGGTGCTCTCCCACCTGGGAAGTGGGGACAAGATTGCATACTGTCTGCTGTTGCCACTTTCAGGCTACATGTCATTGCCACGTCACTGGCAGGCTGAGCATGGCAGTGCTGGGTAACTGGCAGGCCGAGGTAGGCAGTGTGTGAGGAGGAGAGGTTCTGGTTGTTCACACCTTTCAGTTCCCGACTGCAGTATTGTGTGGCTTTAGGCCTGTGGAGACATTATACATCATTATAGGAGCACATGGCAGAGGGCCTGGGAAGGAAAGAGAGAAGGACTGGCATACCTGTAGTGACCTAGCTTCCTCCCATCATGCTTTATGTCCCCATAGCCTTCCACTTCCCAAGAGTGCAGTAGGTGGGAACCAAGTCTCCAGCACACATGGGCCCTTAGGTCCTTGATGATTTGGGTACAGTGGAATGCTAGTGGCTGGCCTGGGCCCGGGTGGTGCTAGCCCCATCTCCTCATCGTAGAGTCATAGCAGCTGTTCACTGTTGCGTTGAGACCACCCTTATCTGGGCTGCCATTTGGTCAGGACGTGAGAAGTCCTGTTCTGCTCCCGCCACTCTGATTCCCAGGGTGGGCATAGTTTCACCTGGATTTTGTTCCGTGGTGGCTACAGGTTGGCTTGTGTCCCTGCCACTCAACTGCACTGTCTGTTCACAGGATGAAGTTGCCCACACAGTCACTGAGAGCCGGGTCCTGCAGAACACCAGGCATCCCTTCCTTACTGTGAGTTCTCTCCCTGCCAACCCTCGGGCAAAGTTCTAGGAAAGCACTAAAGCCTTGCCACTGTAAGCCCAGTTTTGGTGTAGGCCAGGTAGGCCAGGCAAAGCATCACTGGGCTCCCAGGCTGCTTGAGCACCAGGCCCTGGTGATAATTGCATGGCAGCCGTCTTTGGAAGTGAGGGTTGCCCAGCCCAGCTGGCCAAAGTGGGAAGGTTGCTTTTTGGTTTTGGTTTTAAGGTAGACAGAAACATGCTGTCATGGCGTGCCTGTTGACTCCTGCTGAGGAGACGTGGAAGGCAGCTCTGAGGCCGAGGTCTCTGTGACGTCCCTGTCAGTTTAGAGGACTAGGTTAAGGATGCTGCCCTATGAAGGCACGGTGCTTGTTCACATGAGATTTTATCAGATACCTCAATGTAGAAGACAGAACCACATAGTTTATGGTTTTTGTGAGCAGAGGGATTGGCGAGGGTTGGTGAGGAATCCTCTGAAGGACTTCTTAGGATACAGTTTGAGGACAGCTGTGCACTGACAGCCTGTCTGTCTTACCTTTAGAGTAAGCACTCAGTCCATTGTCACTCGGGTTCGTGTGCTAGTGAGCACAGCTCTGTGTGTGTCTTCCTACTCGACAAGGAGGGCGCTAATGAGACAGCTCTGGAGAATCAGACCGTATTTTTCTCTGGTGAACATGCCTGGCATTTGAACCCCTGTGGCCCAAGCAGGGCAGAGTGCGCCAGTTCAGGTTCCTGCTCTCCAGCTGGCGGAGCTTTTCTTCTGTCTCAGCGTTCTGGTTCCCTTCACAGGCCCTGAAGTATGCCTTCCAGACCCATGACCGCCTGTGCTTCGTGATGGAGTATGCCAACGGGGGTGAGGTGAGCTCTGCCATCTGGACACTTTAGTGGTGGTGGTGAGAGGAGCAAAGAAGACCTGGGTGAGATGGGTTGCATGTGGGAGTGTGTGTGTGTGTGTGTGTGTGTGTGTGTGTGTGAGAGAGAGAGAGAGAGAGAGAGAGAGAGAGAGAGAGAGAGAGAGAGAGGTTTATTGACTGTTAGCACGTTCTACCCTGTTCTCCCTGAAGCAGGTGGTACAAGATGCACTTCAGAGGTGGGGCAGGCTTGGGGCAGGTTACTGGGTGACTCACCCAAGTTCACATTGCTGCCATGCTGCTGGGTAGAATTCAAAGCCAGGTGCAGGAGCTGTGGGGTGCACTGTCAGTGCAAGGAAAGATTTTCTTGGGGACACCTGAGAAAACATATGGGCTCCTCTAGGCCCTAGCCCCGAGTCCTGAGTCTCTACTATGCCTCTGTGCCTGTGTCTTGTCACACCCGCTTCTGTCGCCCATGCACCCCTCAGTCTTAGTAGTGCCCTAGATAGACGTGGCCCTACTGACTGCCCCAGTTGCCTTGCTCAGCGGATTGGTCACTGGGTTCATCACTTTTGTCATCCCTCCATCACTTGTCCCCTCATACTGTCTCTACCTACCTACCCTTGCATTGGCACTTACTGGTCTGGTCGCTAATTAATGTGTTCATATGCTTATTTATTGGCAAAATCTCCTTCGGATAACCCAGGCTGATTTCAAACTCAATCGCATTCTGAAGCTAACGCTGACCTTGAATTCTTGATTCTCCACTTTCTACCTCATAAATACAGGGATTACAGATCCACACTAGGGATTATAGATCCTTAACTCTTTTATTCATTCATTCATTCATTCATTCATTCATTCATTCATTCATTCATTCA